GTTCGAGCAAGACGCGCTTCCATGATGCCACCTCCGCCGTGCATAAGTGCAGGAGGTGAGCCACATTTCGTGCATTCCCAAAGAGGTCTGCTTTAGTTTCCTGCATTTGTAAGTCAATAAGGCTATCTGTAAAGGTTTCGGGCCTCCCTGTGGCCCTGGTTGACCTTTGACCTCGGGTTAAGAGTTAGGGTTAGGTCCCCAAGCCGTGTTTAATTAATTTCAACCACATTTTACAAAAAAGATTTACTTATTTTAAGATACTCTGCGTGGTTATCACATTTGCAAATGGAATTTTGAGACTCATAACTTGAAATTTGAACGGTCACTGGCCTGGGACTCGATTTAAGGGGCAGGGTGTCTGACTTTGATACGTTCTTTTTATGTTGGATAAAAAACAGCTGTCACGCAACAACACTTTCCTTTTATACATTTTTTCCCTTTTTTTTTTTTACTGATCTCTTCTTTTTTCACACAATTTTGCCTTGGTGAGAACAGTTCTTAGCAAATACACCCGCTATATTCTAAAAAAATATCAACTATTTTTAGCAAGGAGTTTTCTGTTCTCTTTATGGGAAAAACTGAAAAAAGGGGGGGTTGACTAGTTTATTGTGACTCGATTATCAAAGCATGAAGAAGACAGTTGCTAAATTAGATTTAAACGAGCAAAACACATGCTAACAGTCAGCGTCACTGGCTAGGAGTGACGTCAAGCAAAAATGATTAGATTTACTCTCTTCCTTTGTAAAAGCTTTAGAAATCTGCATTGTTTATACCCACGGCATCCAGCAATTTCTTTTTGGGCCTTTTCTAGTCGTCATTCTTTTATGTTTGTCAGCACATTCCCAAAGCTAGATCCATTAAAATAACAAAACGACAAATCTCTGACGTTGAAAAAGGCCCCCGAAAGCAGCGTTTTTTTTTTTTTCCTGAAAGGTTTCAATTCCAGTTTTTTTCTTCGGATGCCACGACGTAGCGCGCACGTGCCTGAGCCTGCCTGTTTTAGACGTCTGTCGAAGGGCTTGAAAAAGGCCGGGAGGTACACATATCTGCAAAAAAAGAAAAGAAAAAAAAAAAGTCCTGCAAAGCCTCGGAGTGGATTATGAACTCCAGAAAAAAAAAAAAATGCAGTCCTTTTTTTTTTCCCCCCTCAGCTTCTTAAGTGGCACATGACCTATTTCACACCACGGAGGCCGCTTAAGGACGGCGATTTAAGCGGATTTTCACCTTTTTATGGAAGAATTTCACATTATGATTTGGAAAAAAGCAGGATTTCCAAACCTGTGTTGAATCAGTTGTCTTTACAGTTTTTTTTTTTTGTTGTTGTTGCTTTCTTTAAACTATCTTTGTATTCGTGTGGGAAAGTCCTAAATGGCCCTCATGTACTGTATAGACTGGACTATTTAATCAGAATCAGAAATACTTTAATAATCCCAGAGGGAAATTATTTTTGTTACCATTATTTTTGTTTTTATACAACAGAATATACATATATACATGTCTATATATATATATATATATATATATATATATATATATATATATATATATATATGTATATGAGGAAAACAGAGAGGACCGGAAACCGAAGATAACTGTAAGCATGATTTACGTCAAAGATTATGTTAAGATCCGCTAGCAGAAACGCCAAGAAAAAAACGGAATATCTTTCAGTAAAATACTTTATTGAAGAACAAAAACAAAAAAATAAGGTTAACACCTAAGAAAAGCGCGTATGAGAACTTTCAGGATACTTTTGGATTGGAATTATCAAACAAAACCAGGCCCAAAAGGCCACGGCTCATCAGATGCCTTCATGGCAAGCAAAAAAAACTGAAAAATGGAAGTCCCCCCCCTCTACCCGGAAAGTCAGAACGCAACTGATTATTTCAAATCCAATTCTGATCATAAAGGATCTTAAGACTTTTTAAGAATCTTTTTTTTTTTTTTAATAGGAAAATAGATAAATAAAAGAATAATTTTGGCTTGCCTATTACACCTTTCAAACAGCAGGAAAACATTTTTTTTTTCTGTCTCTGTAAATTGGCGCACCTGAGCGGAATTTTCCTTTCGGAAATTGGAAGTTTTAATTTTCCTTCTTCTCAAAAGGAGGGACCGTTAAGGGTCAAATGCTTCTTCAGAAACCCGGGCGTGGTTACGAACAGTAGAAAAAAAACAAAAAAACAAAAAAAACACCCAGGAGTCCGACTGCGAATCCATCTCTATGGCAACATGTGGGGAATACAAAATGGCTCCCCTTGTTCCGAAGTTGGCCAGTCGTCTCTGGCCACCTCTTCGCGCCACCTGGGAATTTCGCCGTGGATCAGATATAGAAAGGTAGCCTCCCGGGGGCCCATTGTCCGAGGCTTAAGCTGGGCAGCAGACTGGACACCGGGGCCTTCTCGCCCTGTTGACTCTGCTGATCCCCTGCCCACTGCTGCGGACAGCAGAGGGCCTAGGGGGCCCCCTAAAAGTGGGGTCCTGACCCTCCGTGTTTCCTTTCGACATTGTGCATTCATGTGTGCGTCAGTGTGTGTTAGTGTGTGTCTCCAGACTATGTACTTTACTGGAACAAAAACAAAAACAAAAAGCCCCGTTCTAGGCCAACGGGTATTTTAGAGCTGGTGTATTTTCTCAAGTTGCACATACACATACACACACACACACGTGTGCAAGGACACACCTGATTCTAGTTGACTTCTGCCCCTTTTCGGCAAAGAAACGCTTCAAAGAAACCCGGAGAGAGAGCCCAGCGCCGCGTCAGAGAGGGAACACAAGTCCAGCAAACACCGGGTCTATAGGATGGGAAAAGGCCTTTGTTGTCGCTTTGTTTTGGAATTTTTCCCTTTTCTCCGGCGCTCTCTTCGAGCTTTTCTGTTGTCGTATTCTTCGACCGGATGTCAAATTCACCTCTTGCGGGACTTCTGAGAAAGATACACACACACACACACACACGTTTGCTTTGATTGACCCGCAAAACTTTGAACTACCCGAGTGTTTGAGCTTCTCTACCGTCTCGGCTTTTTTTTTCTTTCATTTTGGGTGTCCGGGTTAGGGTTAGGGTTAGGGTTAGGGTTAGGGTTAGGGACACAAAGTCCTGCAAAAGGTTGACGAAAGAAAAAAGAAAAGAAGAAAAAAAGAGGAGGTTCTGGCACGTTTATTTGCTTTTTTAAATATCATTCCAGCCGAGACGAGCCGTGCGAAACATTCCGAGTTCCCGCTCGTTCTTTTTTTTTCTGTTTCTGTCCGGCCTTAAAAAAAAATCGGCCGGTTTGGAAAGACGCTCCTCTGCCGCTCCCTTTGTGTAAACGCAAAACTATGCTCGGCAGTCAGAAAACAAGAGTGTTAGCTTTCCGGAGAGAGATTTGTGGTCCAAGGGGTCAAAGGGGAATGACCTCAGGTGCTTTCATTCGCACCTGAAGTTGAGTTTGTCAACCAGAAGAGGCTTTTAAACATCATATTTGCCATTTTAACTCTCCTAATGATGACATTATTACAATATGCTAATATTTTGGGGAAATAATATTGTCCCACAAAGGTGAAAGTCGGACAAGAGAATTGTAACATGATATAAAACACTGTTTACCAGAGGAAAACAAACAGCAACTCAAAGACACATAGCCAGATAATAAGGCAGTTTTTGACAATTCTTCTGATATATCTCCAACCAAAAAACAGAAGGAGAACATAACACCCCTGGACCGATGGCTGACATCACAGTGGTTCATTTGATCCTTCATTTGCAGATTCGAGTCCAGAGAGAACCAATAACTTCGAATAAGTGTCAAAATCGGACTCCAAGACTGGTCGACTGAATATAGAAAATGTCCGAGCAGCAAACATCAGTTTGTTCATAAATCAGTGGTCTCGACTCGGTTGAAGAAGTTCCTGTTTTCCGTTGTGGTTCTGTTATAGTTTCCTATAACGCTGCCTGTCCTTTTCATTCCATCCACTCGTCCAATCGTCTTGGTTGCTACCGTTTACTAATCGTTTAATTTTTATTTTCCTAGTTTGGAATAAAGTTCTGTCCCTCCTCAACCTCCCACCAATCCACTTTAGCAATTTCTATCCTTTGATGCCAGCCTGTTCCGTTCCCTAATTTGTTAAAGTTTCTTTAAAAAACACCTGGCTTTGTAATGGAAAGATTCCAACTGCTAAAGCAAATCCACTTGTCTTATTTATTGATTTCTTTTTAAACTAATGAGACGTTTATCTGGAGTTAGGTCGGGGAACCGGCCGAAACTTCTCTTTCGTGTAAATTTAAGAACGCGTTCGACAACCGTTCGGGAAAGAGCCGCCTAGCAACCGGAGCATGAACCAACAGATTTGAAGTGTGTTTGAAGCGTGGTGGTTTAATGTTTGTTCCCGTGCTTTTATCGTACGCCGCGTGATTAAATAAGACGGGTAAAGTAAGCAATGAATTCCTTCATGCGGGAGAGAACGCTGTCCAAACACGTCCTTCCCCTGAAAAAAATCGAAAAGGGGTCATTAGAACACACACAAAGACACTAAAACGGATCGTATAATTCGGATTTCCATTCCAGAAATGGCTTATTTATGGATCCTGCTTATGTTATCTATGCAACCTGGAATGTTTCATACTCTCAATTGATGTAAGTGCCAAAAAAAATCAAGTAGGAACCGAATCTACTGAAAATCCGAAAGATCTCCAGAGTGGCTTGGAGGCCCAGAGAGCAACCAAAAGCCTGTGCATGCAAAACAGTTCAATTCAATTCAATTTTATTTATATAGCGCCACATCACAACAACAGTTATCTCACAGTGCTTTCCAAACAGAGCAGGTCAGACCCTACTCTGAAGTTAATTACAGAAACCCAACAATTCCCACCATGAGCAAGCACTAGGCGACACAGGCAAGGAAAAACTTCCTTTTAACAGGCAGAAACCTCGAGCAGAACCATGGCTCCGGGTTGAACAGTGAAGCCCATTCCTGTTTTTTTTGGACTTATTCTTTATTCAAATGCTCCGTCTTCATCCACAGGGGAAGCCGTGGAGACCCAGCCCGATCCGGCCGCCAGCGAGATCCCGACCGTCCGAAAGCCGGGCAAGGAGACCGCCTGGCTGGGGCCCAAAGAGAGCGCCGTGCGCCAGCACAGGCAGGAGATGAAGACCAAGATGAAGTGCAACAAGGTGGAGGAGTTGAAACCCACTCGACCCAAACAGGTGAATGAACAGTTTTTTCAATGTCAGGTCCAGAAAAAAAGTTATTTTACATATTAACTCGATTAAAAAAAATTGAATTTAGCATGGTATCTTTAGCATGTTTCGTAGTTACAGTTCAGTGTCTGGAGTGTTTTTAGTTTTTATTAAGTCACCAACGGTCAATACGGGAAAATGAACACATCATACGCTGATTTAGAGGTTTGCTTTGTGAAGTTTCTCCAGTACACAACAACAGTTTTTCAGGAAATCCAATTCCAAGTCTAAGGTCCGTATTTCTTTGAAAGTTAAAAAAAGGTCCTTGTCAAGACTAAAAGCCGTTAATTGGAAGCCATGTTGAATATTGTTGCAGCTCGGGAAGACATTTGTGTCTCATTCCGACCACGCAATGATGTCGGAGGTCTATTCGGTCCAGATTAAAGACAGAGGGTATTCGTTAGCTTTTTTTTGTCACTGTGGTTGTTATTTATCTTCCGTTTCTGAGAGGTTCTGCCTATAATAGAGCGAGTTTTCGGTGGTTGTCATTGTGGCCTCAAACGCAGCACTAATGAAAAACAGTAACCCCCCCACCTCTAGCAACAGCTGCTAGTTTTTGCACGTTGTCTTTGATGAAATGAAAAGTGTTTCCTATTTCCATTTCCGAACAAAGTTCAAAGTACAGTCAGTCCTGGGAGAAGGAATTTACTGGGATTCCACCAACAGAAAACAAAAAAAACCCCCAAAAAACAAGACCTTCACGGACCAGTGACAGCTCTTTTAATGAAAAAAAGAAAAATCCAATGTCCCTAACTACACCTGACCCGCTTTGTTACCCCATAAATTCGACTGGAAGGGGGAATCTGGAGCATTTTATGTCCAACGGCGAGTCATTTTCCAACTGCTATAAAAAAAAAGCCATTTATAGAAGCTTATTGCTCCAGCAGAAACTCTGTAGAACCGTCTCAACAAAACATTTGGCTCCGTTGTGAGGCTCTGTGAGGTAAACGTGAGGTCAGCGGTTCGTTTTTAAAAAAAATAAATTTATCCGTCGCTGGCAAGAGCCAAGATTCATTTGCTCATAACGGGGGAAAAAACCCTTCGGCTTTATGGCGTCGGATCTCTGTGTGTGCGCGTTTAATATGGGATTTTATAGCCAGTCAAAAAATGCGCTGATTGCTTAGCAAACACAAGCTGGCGTTGGTGTGTCCTCGGATGGATTGAACTGATCTTTATTTTATTTTATTTTTTTTCTCGACTTCTTCTTTTGGTCTAAATGAGATTTCCGATTTTCATTTGAATGCAAAAAACATGATTTGAAAACATGCCGAATCCCACTGAGGTTTAGACTTATTAGAACAGCTTGTACAGAACATTTCATGCTGCAGGGCCAGTCCCATTTTTTTTTTTTTAACCAACAGGACACAGAAAACCCGGCTGCCCCGGCACACCCACATACCTCTACGGGAGCCTATGGGAACGTAATGTTTCTTTTTTTTTTGTTGTTGTTGCTTTTTCAAGACTCAGTGTCAGCAGGAGCTGGACCAGGTCCTAGAGCGGATATCCAAGATGCCCTTCAGAGATAACCGAGGTCCCCTGGAAGACCTGTACGCGCTGCACATCCCAAACTGCGACAAGAGAGGGCAGTATAACCTCAAACAGGTGACTCCAGTCATATATTTTAGCCACATGACCAATATGTAAGTACATGAGAGACGGAAGGTGAATAAAGCATGACCGGCCTAACTTTAACCCTTAACTTTATCCCTTAAAAGCCCATCTTCTTAGACATTTTTCAGCCCTACAGTTGCGTCAACTGGTGTACAAGGGCAATAACATGGTGCAATTTTTATATAGTGCAACATTATATATTATTGAAATACCAGATTAATTGAATGTTTACATCTAAATCCATGCAGCTATAACATTGTCTTTGTTATTACCTGTATTGTTTCTTTTCAGATCCCAGGTCCATACTACTTATGGCACTAAAAATCACTGTTTTTTCTCAGCTCTTTAGGGTTTGGGTTAGGGTTAGGGTGGGTTAGTGTTAGGGTTATTTATATAGTTTATTTAACTATCCACAGTATGTATTACCTAACCAACATAGCCAAGCAACGACATTTCGTTGTCAAATTCACTATGTGGCTTTGTACAGAGACAATGATGGGGGGTTCATTCTAAAAAAAGGAAATGGGTGGGGGGCGTTTCCTGTGAAAGTTCACGTACTATTTTAGACATAAAATCATTATGACGATCATATGTGATAGGAAAAAAAAGAAAAAAAACCCGACAACACATGCGTTCCCTTTCAGTGCAAGATGTCTCTTCACGGCCAGAGGGGCGAATGCTGGTGTGTCAACCCCCACACCGGCCGGCCCATCCCATCGGCGCCCACCGTGAGGGGCGACCCCAACTGTGGCCAGTACCACCGGGAGCAAGAGCTGGAGCTCCCCGACACCACCCAGATCTAGTTCTAGGACCAAAGCTAAAGCCAAACTGTAAAGTACTTGGGGAACAAAGAGCATCTCCAGGATGCTATAAGCTATACCCTTCTGTGTGTTTGTGTCTTTAGTTTCGTTCCACGAGTCGGACGTTTCAATATCTTAACTGCCAAAAAAAAGACCAAAAAAAAGGATTAGGCGTAGAGTCCGACTCGTTGCGTAAGGCGTAACCTCAGATTACAGTAAAGATTAGGCTTCTTTCCTATACATATACTTAGGTGGAGTGTCAGTAACGGTGTTCTAGGGATCGTGACTTTGCCTAGAGTGCTTCTGGTTTTTCAGTGTTTCGTACCGTGCGCGGTGTTTTAGAACAAAGAACAACAGGCCTCCGGGGTCTGTTGGATATATTTTTTAGGTGTTTTCGTGCTCCTGCTTGTCGCGCCTCGCGCTGGGCTCTATGGCCTTGAGCTCGCCGGGCTATAGTAGTAGACGCTATCGACGACGAAACGTAGCACATGTCGGGGGAGTAGAAAATGTTCAGTGCAAGACATGATGATGAGCTGACGCCAATAAAATGAGAATAACTCAATCGGTGTGTGTGTTTTACTTGAACAACGGATAGAGGATCCCCTATAGTTTTTAGGGGAAAGAATGGAATTAAAAGCGCGATTCGAAAACGTGCGATATCCCCTTAGTCACATGGTGCGGAAACCCTAAGCTTTACTGCCCTCTACGGTCTGGACCGGGAGCGTTTAGCCTTTTAAAACGCCATGAGGGAGAATCGCACATATTTTTTGGAGGGTCACGTCATCCCAGTAGCTAAAAAACAGGAAAAAACCCGCCGACTCCACATTTTGCACGTCAAAACGCAGATCGAACAATAACCACAAACGCGCACGGGGGCATCGTGAGTACATGGACTTTATTTAAATAGTCATTTAGCCTTTTTACGAAAAAAAAAACAAAGAAAAAGAAAACAAAAAAAGAGTACATCAATTACACACCTGATAAATATTTCACCATCGTGTTTCACATTAATCTTTTTTCAATTTCAGACTCTGAAATGCTCCAAATGCCATTGTGTTGTGTTTTTAAGTAAGCTTTATAAGAAAAAAAAAAAACAGGCTAAGGCGCCACTGTCAGCGGAGGCATGAGGAATATCTATCATTACATTAAACACGAAGAATAAAACAAAAAAAACAAAAAAATACGGGGGAAAAAACAGGACCTTGAACAAAATTTGTACCAGAGAACACAATTCTGTCCCTTGTCGTCGTATGTATAGCAGCAGCACTTGGCTGGAAGATCACGATAATCTCTTGTCAGCGAACTAGATCTCCCCATCCATTCCTCCATTCTTTTTCTTCTTTCTTTTTTTTTTTTTTCCTTTCTTCTTTTTGCTCGGGCATCCCTGGCTCCGCAAACACAATGGCTCCGCATGCAAATCGGAAAAATTCAAAGTCGCGCGGGGCGGAAGGCACTTTGCATTTACATGAAAAACCCGTCGACCTCGCTTCTCGGCGGGACAAAAAAGGACCCGGTGAACCCGGGGAGAGGGCGAGCCGACGGCCGGATTTGCTTGCGAGGAGGACCCTCCGCATGGAAAAATAAACAGCGCGGGGCCTTTGCATACAATTTGTGTGCGAGCTGTAAGGGGGGGGGAAATGCACTTGAGTAGGGCCGGCTTAGCGAGCTTTTTGAAGTAGAGAACGACACACAAAGACGCACACACAGGCACACACACTCTCAGAAGCATGCACAAATTGCCTATACATACATTTCTAAACAGTATATGCAGTTTTCTGGAGCTTTGGGGGGAAAAAAAGCAGTCACATATCTAACCAATAACAGTACATTTGAGCTTGGTTTTGATGAGGTTTAGGGACTTTTGCTTATTCGTGGGTATTCCGGGTCTGTCTGAGTGCGGGAGCAGGGATTTGGTTGAACAACCAAACACAGAAACGTACAGTATCCGTTTTCTCCTCCAAGTGCATGAGACAACACGTCAGCTCCATATTTATCAGACATATATTTATCAGACATGTCCGCTATGATTTTAAAAAGGTCTCACGGTTGGAAAAATAAAGATTTAAATGGCTTTTAGGTCATTTCTGGATATAATTGGATTTTAAAACGGCATAATCGTCGCCTCTGGTTTCCTTATGGACAAACAGAGAGCAGAGCCGAACAAAAACACCCCAAAAAACGAGCTGAAATGGGCTAAAGGGACTTTGCCATTCGCTGTTCTCTGACATTTTTCATCTGTGGTGAAAGTCCCATTTAGCATTTCCCCATCTACGCCGCCTTTTTTTTCCCGTGACTGAAAACCATTGCCCTGCGATTTTCTTATTTTTTCTTAATCTCTCCCGAGTCTGTGTTCTCCACGGCCAACAGGTGAAGCCCCGAAAACTCCCCAAGAACGCCGACGTTGCAGAACGAGAGCCTAAGTTAGATTCGGTATTTGACGATTTCTCGCTAAACAAAAAAACAGGATGCTGAGGAAATCGTTCATAGCTAGCCACATTTAAAATATGTCTTGTCAGAAGTGTTTTGGAGTAAAATCAACAATCAACTCAATACACAACATCATCAGTATAATACAAATATATAGAATCTATAGAATACATACGTGTATACACACCCACACACACACACGCACACACATACATATATATCTATATATATATATATATGGCTCTGAGTGTGTATATATTTCTATTATCTAAGATATAAAGATGGTGGTAGGTCACCTCATGGTACACAGTGGGGGAGCCACAGATTGGACCGATATTTTCACTGAAGCAATCTTTTCAGTTTGGCTCCCCTCGGAAAAAAAACGGACACACGGCGCAGTCCATCACACATGATCACACATGAAAGCAATTAGGCCTTATAGTATCGATTGATTTTTCAGTCATAAAGTGTACTAGCTGGATTGGCAGGTTTTTTTCGGGGGCGGGGGCAAAGACCGGCCTCGGAGCGTGGGCTCTCATTCGTTGCCGTTGCTGTTGCCGTCCAGTTCCTTGCACTGCAGGTCTCCGCCGGCGTAGTTGATGCCGGGGATCTTCACGCCGAAGCGGTCCACGCACCAGCAGATGCCCCGTTTACGACCCCGGGACGGCTTGCACTGCAAAGGGGGGAGGCAGACGGATCAGAAACGGTTACATTTACAAGAAGCCCCCTACCCCGGTTGGTTAGAACCCAACAAACGGAGCGTTCGAACCTGCTTGCGCTTGAAGAAGCCCTTCTTGTCGCAGTTGGGGATGTACAGGGAGAGGGCCAAAACCTGAGAGGTGTCCTTCATGCTCTGAATGAGATTATCTAGTCGTCTCCTGCAGGGACCCTGGACAAGGGACACAAGAAGAATTCAGAGGGTTAGAATGTGTTAGGGCGTTATCAGGTGCTATCCCAGCGGTCAATGGGCGAGAGGCGGGGTACAACCTGGACATTCCCCTAGTCCATTGCAGGACCACACACAAGACATACAAGGACAAACAACCACTCACACTCACTCCTAAGGGCAATTTGGAATGTCCAGTTAACCTAACAACCAGGTTTTTGGACTGTGGGATTAAGCCAAAGAACCCGGAGAGAACCCACGCAGACACAGGGAGAGCATGCAAACTCCACACAGAAGGGTCCTGGTTCCCCCCCGGGACTTGAACCCAGGACCTTCTTGCTGAGAGGCGACGGTATAGACAACCATCCATCCATTATCGTTACTGCTTATTCCCTAATGGGGTTGCGGGGAAGAACCAGAGCCTATCCCAGTGGTCAATTGGCGAGAGGCGGGGTACAACACAATCCAACACAAGGCCACACAGAGACACACAAGGACAAACAACCACTAACACTCACTCCGAAGGGCAGTTTGGAATGTCCAATCAACCTAACATGGAGATTTTTGGACTGTGGGAGAAAGCCGGAGAACCCGGAGAGAACCCACAGACACAGGGAGAACAGAAAGATCCTGGTTCCCCCCGGTACTTGAACCCAGGAGCTTCTTGCTGAGAGGCGACGGTATAGACAACCATCCATCCATCCATTATCGTTACCACTTATTCCCTAATGGGGTCGCAGGGGAGAACTGGAGCCTATCCCGGTGGTCAATGAGTGAGAGGCGGGGTACAACACAGTCCAACACAAGGCCACACAGAGACACACAAGGACAAACAACCACTAACACTCACTCCGAAGGGCAGTTTGGAATGTCCAATCAACCTAAAATGGAGGTTTTTGGACTGTGGGAGAAAGCCGGAGAACCCGGAGAGAACCCACAGACACAGGGAGAACAGAAAGATCCTGGTTCCCCCCGGTACTTGAACCCAGGAGCTTCTTGTGGAGAGGCGATGGTGCTAACCACCACACCACCCGTGCCGTTCCCCAGAATAGACACACGAAACCCAAAAAAATAAACATGCGGACGTCACTTACGAATTCGTTCTCCTGTTTTTCCGGGCCGGGCGGCGAGAGTTCCCTGTTGCTGTACGGGCCCGGCCGGAACAGCAGCTTCTTGCGGTCCTTGGCCTGCTTCATGGCCTGGGCCTTTCGGCTGCTGATGTGATCGCCATATATGGGCACCTTGGTGTGTCCCGGCTCTGCCGCGCGTCATCGTGAAATTGTCCATTTGTTTGGGAAGGCAAAAGACACACGAGAGAAACGGGGAAGGGGTGGGGGAGGAGGGGAGGGGTCACTCGTTAGCTCTTCTTAGACCAGAAGCATCCGCTGAATTACATTTCCCCCCGACAGCATTTTAGCCCCAACATGAGAATACGAAAAATGCGACAAGAGTAAAAACGGGGGTTAAAAAGCTAGACGGAAAGTCGAGCCGAGGTCTGGCTGACCCCCTTTAATCGACACAAGATTACTATTGTCAGGGGAGAGCTGTGTTTTCCGAAGAATGCCGGGCAATTTGTACCTGGGCTTGGCAAAATTACAGCCACTGCCGGGTTAAGAATAAGCAGTTACGCTAATTCTCAGACCCAGTCTCCAGCGTAAAAAGGTCTGACATTAGCAAACTGGGGCTTCAAAGCATTTTTCCTGCCTGCCTCAGGTTTGAAGATGAGACGATTTGAAAAAAGGACTCCCAAATCAAGAGGAATTCTACCTTTTTTATCGAGCGGCTTAAATTAAAAAGCGCAGGAGTGTCCACTTAGGAAATGTCACAACACAATGCGATGATTTCACTCCCCCTTGGACCAAAGTGCTCATTTAGTGCATTTTTAGTGGCTACTGGCAAGTTCCAGATTGGCTGTGTTTACACAAAGGACAACAGAGCCTACATTTATAACAATCCGTGTTGCCAGGCTGAGGTATATGTGGACCAGGTGACCCAAATGAGATATTTAGTCTCACGCTGGCACCCCGGGGCTCCTGCAAACGTGCCATTTACTCGTGTCATGTGGCGGGCCAATCCATTTTGGGGTTCCAGAGCCTGTTATCCGGGCAAAAAAATTTTTTTTCAAAAAGCACAGCTCCCTGATAAATGTCGGGGAGTTGCGCAGACCTCTGGACACCCGGTCCCCACGGCTGTGCACAGGGGCCCCGGAACGAGCATATTTCTTTTTTCTTTTTTTTATTTACAGGCTCAAACATGCATTAGCCTCGTACGTGTCCTAAGCCGGGGCTGGCCCATTTTCCAACCGCTGTGTCACGCACTCGCTTCCGTTTTCATTTGGGGCAGATTGCAGATTCATCATGTAAACCCCCCCCCCCCACCACCCCCCCCCCCCCCCACCCCCCCCCCCCCC